ATGGGAATGGGGCTTATGGAGTGGGCGAGAGTGGTAATTTAGTCAATTTACAGGCGAGAAACCGCAATCCACACACCTTGAGGAATCACTTTTCTGCAGAAAGCACCGAATGTAAAACCCTCTTTGGAGATAGACTTATCAATAGTCATCAGGATACTACAATCGAGATGAAATGAGATCAGAGATGGGGATGCTAGTTTCGGCATGGAGAATGGAATACTGAGAATCAATTTTTTGGATAAGGTGCATAACCTCCTAGCGCAAAATATGAAACGTACAGTGATTACTCAACTGTTTGGGAAGCCGATTGGGTATAAAGCACTATGAGCAAAATTTCATAGTCTGTGGAAGTCTACTGATCGATTACATCGATTGACCTCAATAATGATTACTATATGGTCAAGTTCCACTCGACAAAGAACTACCTGTACGTTCTGACTGATGGCCCATGGATTATATATGGTCGTTACCTCACGGTGCAACTTTGATCCCCCAGTTTCTCTATTGTTAACCCTGATATAATTAATGCGGTAGCCTGAATGCGTTTTCTTAGCCTCCCGATCCATTATTACCATAAGAGCATGATCAAAGCTATCTCCAGGGTGATAGGGAAGGTATTTCGCATTGACTATAATATTGAATCCACAGAATATGGCAAGTTTGCTCGATTAGCAGTTGGAATTGACCTGGCCAAACCACTCATTTCTAAGTTCATGCTGGATGGGCGCCTATAGAGAGTGGAATATGAGGGTTTACCTATTATATGCTTCGATTGCAGACTTTATAGGCACCTTAAATGCCAATGTAAGAAAAATGCTGAGACGGAGATTGAAAACTATGGTCCTTGAATGCAAGTCCAATGCAAGGGGAGGAAAGTTGGAAGTAAAAACCCTATCCTACCAAGTCAAGGACTAAATATCCTAAGAGAGAATAATAAGAATGGGTCAAAATTTAGTATGACTGTGGATATAAAGGGAGCCCTAGAAGGACCAAATTGGCTGGTGGTTAAAACTCCTAAATAAATAGGGGTCTCAAGTGAGAGACAACCCCCAACGAGCAAAGAGAAAGCGTCGGTGGTGGAAGACAGTGATCAAAAGACGATAGATGCCCTTTTCGAAATCATGGGTTCTACCATGCTGGCCAATACTAAGCCCATAATTGGACGTATGATGTCCATGAATAATATGGTTGGAGAATTTATCGGGACAAAGGTACGCATCAGCCTCGTTGGCGTAAGAATGACTAATAATGA